ATCGTCTCTAAAGAATGATAATACCATCATCCCTAAGGAACGATAAAACAATCATCCCTAAGGAACAATAATACCATCATCCTTAAGGAACAATAAAATCGTCATATCTAAAGAATGATGATATTATCATTCCTTAGATACAATAAAACCATCGTTCCTTAGGTATAATAATACCATCGTCCCTAAGGAATGATAATACCATTGTCCCTAAGGAACAATAATACCATCGTCCCTAAGGAACAATAATACCATTGTCCCTAAGAAACGATAAAACCATCGTCCCTAAGGAACTATAAAACAATCGTCCCTAAGGAATGATAATACCATCATTCCTAAAGAACGATAAAACAATCGTCCCTAAGGAACGATAAAATCATCATTCTTTAGGTATGATAAAACTATCATTCCTTAGGTACGATAATACCATCGTTCCTAAAGAACGATAAAACAATCGTCTCTAAGGAATGATAAAACTATCGTTTCTAAGGAACGATAATACCATCGTACCTTAGAAATGATAAATTATTGTTCCTAAGAAACGATAGTACTATCGTACCTTAGAAATGATAAATCGTCATCCCTAAGGAATAATAAAACAATCATTCCTTAGGAACGATAAAACCATCGTTCCTTAGGTATGATAATACCATCGTTCCTAAGGAATGATAAAACCATCGTTCCTTAGAAACGATAAATCGTCGTCCCTAAGAAATGATAAAACTATCGTCCCTAAGGAATGATAATACTATCATTCCTTAGGTACGATAAAATCGTCATACTTAAGGAATGATAAAACTATCGTTCCTTAGATACGATAATACTATTGTCCCTAAAGAATGATAATACCTTATCGTTCCAATCGGACGTCAATTGGTTATAAATAAGATAGGTCAAATTTTAGCTGATTCTTGGCAGATTTCTGATGTATGCTAATTGGCTAGGCTGATTTTGATAATTTGTCGAATTTAGGCTGATTTTAGGCTGATTTTCACATGTCTGATTTTTTTGATTTCGACCAGTATCACTGCAATTATCTTTTTTTCTTTAATGTTAATAGCAAACTCCTTTTCTTTTCTTTTGTATATCCAGATTACATTGTTGTCATTTTTCATTCATTTTTTCTTATTTCTTTACATTTTCTTTTACCATTAATATGTGTTTTAATCACCTAGAAAAATAATACAGTATTACATCAGTATGACTTTTTAATATAAATAACATAATGAATTATAAAGAACCTAACTTATTACTTATTGATATAGAAATAATAGTTGATATAAGTGATAATACACAAGAAATAGTACTGTTGAATGAAGAACAATATTCATTAATATTGAGGATGAATCAGTATCTTTATTTCTGGTAAAAAATTTTCTTCATAGAAGACTTATAAAACCTTTATTACTGAATGGATCAAGAGACAAGGTTTCTATATAGTTAAGGATTGAGTTGTTAAAGAAAATAAAATACTATGCTAAAGAATCTTTATTTGTAATTATAGTAGAACTTATAATTTAATATTAAATAAAGATATTAGTATAAAGAAGATGCAATGTTCTTTTTTAATCAATACATCTTATTCAAAGGTCAATAATTCTGATACCTTTGTAACTGTCAATAAATTTATAAATGAGTATAATCATCCTTTAAATTGTAAAATGATTAAGTTTAAAGATGCAAAAAAATTTACCCAACCAATAATAGAAGACATAAGATTCATAATCATAGATTGTAAGTTTGATACATCTACATAATGGAAATTTCTTGAAGAAAATATCCTTCACAGCTGATTTATTCAAAAGACCTTTATACAGCAATACAAAAATTTCATCTTACTAGTAAATCTTTATCCAATAATATCATAAACTAGTTTGATTAACAAAAAGAGATAGATTCACGCTAGATTATTGCAAGAGAATGGGATGATGATAATACATTTACATATTTACTTTAAATAACATCTAATCAAGTAGAAAACTAGATTCAGTATTCTGATTGTATTTTTAACAACATAACACATAAAACTAATTGATATAGAATAACATTATCATTATTTATTGGATTTAACAATAATTACTATAATATTTTACTTGCACAAGCTCTCTTATCAAATGAAAGTTTTGAATCATATAAATGGGTGCTTAGTCAAATTATGAAATCAACTTGTGCTATAATAATTACAAATGCTGATCCTACTGTTGATGCAGCTATTTGGCAAGTTTTTCAATTAATATATCCTATTTATTACGTCTATTATATAACATAAAATTTTCACAAGAATCTTAAGAAAAACTTAGATAATGATTATCAAAATTTCTTGAGAAATTCTATAGGTGCCATAATAGTTTTGCTAAAAATGCCTTCTAATAACAATTTGATGAACTTGTTCAAGATTATCCAAATACACAAACATATCTTGAGTTTCTTTATAAGTTAAAAATATATTGGATATATTGTTTCATTAGTTTTAAATTTACAGAAGGTATGATTGCTAGTTTACGTATTGAGTCTGTAAATACATATTTGAAATATTTGTTATACAATTTAAATATTTTTTATATGATTTTGCTAAAGAAATTCAAAGACTACTTGATATTCAAGATAAAAAAAAATGAATATAAATTTTGGCAACTAGCAATTCCATCTATAAAAAATCTGAAAAAAACAAATTTTTTGTTTACCAAAGTAGACCAATGTCTTCAAAAATTTCTTATTTCTTTAATGTTAAAAATACATCGTGATAAAATTGACTAATCTTTATATTGTATAGTAACATTTGAAAATGCTAAATTTGTAGATAAGGATCTAACTATACCATTTGATGAAACATTAGCCATTGGTATTTCACAGACTACATTAAGTCAAATAATTAAATTTGTTGAAGTACATAATATCAAAAAAATATGGGCAGTTAGCATTAGAAATTTATCAAAAGCTAAATATTATGTTCTTTTGTTACAAAATTATAGACATATATATTCATGTCTTTCAATTATACGATGTATAATAATTTGCAAGCATTTTTTTCAGGTGATGCTAGTTATAAAAAATGCATTATTTTATATCAAACTTATTCCAATGCAATAGTATTATACAGAAAAAAAAGATTCAGAAGTACCATTTTTAATAGCAGACAAATTTACGCAATAAGAGCAAAGTATCATATATAATTTACAAAATTCAATATCATACTTATGCTTTTTCAACTAAGACAATAAAAACTTTTGTGAAGAAAGGTTAATAATTTTTGAACAAAGAATTGTTTACAAAAAATTACATGAAACATATAAGAAAGCTCTTTTAAAAATTTTGCAAACAAATTTTCGATCACATCAACTAATTAATTTACTTCAAGAGTTTATTGATAATAAAGATAATGATGAGCATTTAGATTTAGAAGATGAATTTCAAGAAGGTGATAATACTATTGATAAGAAAAATGAATCTCTAGCATTATTATTGCAAAATCTAAAGTAATATTATAGTAAAGTCGATCACCTAGTACCAAAAGGTTTAAATCAGCTCATAAAGCTTCTAAAACAAAAAATCAATGTCAATACAAAAAATGTGAAAATGTCAGTCACTATTAAAAAAACTGTAAGGTATTATCAAATGTTGCATATGTTGTATTTTTTTTTGGTTTCACATATAGTAAATATATGTATGTATATTAATTGTTATTTATTTCTTTTTATTGGTAATTAGGCTTAAGATATTTATGCAAATTATAAGTACAATATGATATAGTTATAAAATTTATATTACAATTACTATAATCAAATAAATAAATAAATAAAAATTGGTCACATGATATATAAATTTAGAGACTAGCAATTTTTCGCTATTATAGTAAATTACAAAACTCTTAAATTTAAATCTGAAAATCAAAAAATAAAACATTTTAGTTTAAAAAAAATCTAAAAATATTTTTTTTTGTTAAAGTTTTAAATATATTTAAATTAAAAAATATATTTTTTTTTATTAAAAAATCCTTTCTAATTCTAAAAATAACTTTTTTATATACAGTATGTGATACTTAAAGATTTTAATAAATTTGTTAATTTTTAAAAAGTAATAAAAAATAATATAAAATAATACCAAAAAAAGAAAGCTACAGTTTTAATGCCAAATTAATTTACTACAAATTACCAGCCTTCTTTTTTAAAATAATTACTTATTCTTAACTTATATCGATTTAAAAATGCTTTTTTTTCATATGATCAGTATTCAGTAAGATAAGCATGTGACTTAAAATTGGCTAATTAGATCACTCTTAAACTACACATGCATACTATTGAATAAAAAAATAAATATAATTAGATATTCAGAATAGAAAAATATTTATCTGTTATTAAAAATGCTACAGATAAAAAAATTTTATCTGACTTTAAGAATACAATAAGAGGAGACAATTTTCTTTTATTGAAAAGGAAGAAACTGAGACTAGTAAAAGGAATACAGAATTTATTGAGAGAGAAGGTAAAGAAATTAAGAAGAAAAAGGTAATTATGAATGCGTTTACTTGCAGCAGAACTCATATAAAATGAATCTAAAAAAATAAAAAAATAATAAAAAAAATACTAAAAACTACCTATTACTGTAAGTTTAATATTTTTGATATACTTATCAATGCTTTTAAGAAAATACCTAAGATTACTAGTTTATAGGATAACAATAGGTCTATTGATAATTCCTCTGTGTTATTCAAATTTTTAGCATCTTTAAATAGGTGTATCAATAGATTTGCTAGCAATTTTTTAACTTGTATCTGTCGCTATTTTCACCTTTATCTTATTTTTCATCTCTACCTTTATTTTTTTTCTATCACCTTTTCTATTATCTTCTTTATCACATTTCTCATCACCTTCATTACCTTTTTTCATCATTGACATCATTTTCATTACCTGGATCTCTGTCAAAAATAAATGAAAATTTAATACTTTGTGAAAGAATTACACAACTTTAAGATGATCTTCTTAAGAATAAAAATATATATACATCTTTAAATATAACTGACGGCGTGTCATCTATGAATATCTTACATAGCTAAATAATAACTGTAGAAAAATAAAGCTAATGAGAAAGCAACACATATATTTATATTATTTCAAAGCCATATACCATTAAATGAATTCATTTTTTGACTAAATTTTACTTGAATCATTATACTGTAATAAACACTAAAAATATAATTGACTTATTAATGATAAAGATGTCACATTAAGCTTGCAATAATACACTGGCCTATAATAAATATTCAGATTTTCATCATGTGAATTTGCATTCCCGTGTTATGATTGCTGATTTCTTCTTATCATATATATAAATAAAAAAGATAAACAAAAATATTATATTCTTCTAGTTTTTAATGCATGGAAATGAAGTTTCAAATGACAACCAGGAACGAATAATCAGTGCATTTTTTACTGGTAATAAGCAAATAGTCATTTCTACACAATTTAATATACCAACTAGTACCATAAGTGATATTATAAAAAAATATAAAAAAACTGGTTTTGCAAAACCTAAACAATATCTTGAAAGACCTAAAATACTCAAATAATGTAATACCTAAGCTTTGAAATATATTATATGAACTGATTGATTTTCTCCCTTTAGTTATGTGACAAATAAATTTAATACTAATCTTAATATAACTTTACACTATAATACAGTTAGAAGTTACCTTTATGATGAAGGTTTTAGAAGTTATATAGTAAGAAAAAAACCTCATTTAATTGATAATCATTAAACTAACTGCTTGAAATAATGTAAAGGAAAAAAAAATTGGTTAGAAAAATGAAAACAAATGATATGGTCAGATGAATCAAGGTTTTCTCTTTTTTAATCAGATGGTCGAGTAAGAATATAGAGAAGTTCTAGAGAAGCATATAATAAAAATTGTATTTAACTTACAGTAAAGTTTGAAGGGGAATCAGTGATGTTTTGGGAGTGTTTTGGCTGGTATAGGATTGAACCGTTGGTTATGATGAAAGAAAACATAGATTCTGATAAATACATTAATATTCTGGCAAATTATTTTATCCTATGGATTAATAATTATTCTAACTCTATTTTTTAGCAAGATGGAGCATTATGTTATACTTCAACTTACAGTGTTTGGTGGATAAAAACACATAGCATTCCAATTTTAGATTAAGTAGCACAAAACCTTGATCTTAATCCAACAGAGAATTTGTAGAACTATTTGGATAGTTAGATTTAAAAAGAAAGCCTATACCTAAATCTAAATAGGAATTAATTAGAGTAGTATAAGATAGGTGGCAAAAAATCACAATTGAAATATGTCATCGCCTAATTTTAAGTATGTCTAATTAGGTTAAAGCAGTAATTAAGACTAAAGGTGATCATACTAAATATTAAAATTTTTCATTATAATATTATTACTATAATTACTTTATATTTTATATTTTAATATAATAAAATTTATTTGACAATTAAGAAGTATAAAAAAATTTTTTATAAGTACCATAAAATTATAATTTTACATATAAATTTTATAAATAAAAAAAATCTGAATATTTATTGTAGGCTAGTGTAGTTATAGAATCAGATTCAAATAGCATTAATATAGCTCATTTTAAACAATATATTAAAGATTTTATTTTACCTTAACGTGTAGGAATCCAGAAAACAATCAGTATAAAAACTGTCAAAAGATAATTGCATGTCTTAAAATATCAATTTAAAGGATATTGAAAAGGCATTTATTTTGATAGACATAAACGAGAAGATATTGTTACATATTGAGAAGAATTTTTAAATGCAATAAAAGGATTTGAATAACGAATGATAAGATATGAAAGAGAAGAAATAGAAATGATTCCATTAATACTCAAATCAGAATAATAAGAGCTAATTTTTATTATTTATAATAAAAGTATTTTTTATGCAAATAATAGAAAAAAATAATTTAGGTAACTGATAATGAAATATCATTGTGAAAGAAAGGAAATGAAAAATTGATTATGGTGAACAAGTTTCTTTCAGAGGCTTATAATTAATTGAAACTTAGTAAAGAAGAGATAGCAAGAAATCTGGATATTTTTATAGAAGCTTATTGTTATCTTTTACCTGATAAGAATCAAAAAGATTATTAGAACTTTAAGCATTTATTAGAGCAGATTAAATTCAAGGCAATTTTCATTTTTGAGGTGAAATTTTCTAATGCAACAGCTGTTTTCACCTTTGACAATAGTATGAACTATATAGCATATGCTAAAAATGTTCTTGTTACAACAAGGATGAATTTAAATTCTAAAGAAAAACAACTAATTATGAGATTAATATCTTTTTATTGATAAAGATGAACAAGAAATAACTCAACAAATGATATTTTTAGAAAATTATTCTAATTCTCCCTTGCAAGAAAAATCAAAAGGAATAAAAAGAGTATTATAAGAAAGAGGTCTATGAAGAAAAAGATTATGCTTAGAGTATTCAATGTATAAGAAAAAAGAATCTTTGAACATTGATTATTATGCAAGAAAAATTATGGCATCCTAACTAGATTTCATAATGTAAAAGTTAGCCATTGTAGAATTAATTAAGAATGTGAGCAATTTAATTTAGTATTTTCTATCTGAAGTTCTATTATAAACTTAATTTTATTGAAATGTACTGAGGTGTAGCCAAGTGTTATATAAGAAATCACTGTGATTATACATAAAGTGGCTTACAAAAAACTATTCTACAAGTACTTGATTCAGTATAATTAGAAAGTATGCCTAAAAATCGTGAAAATATATGCAATTATATTATAAGAAATTAATAGGAAAGTTAGCTGAGTATGGATATAAAAAATTTAAATCACATAAGCAAATTCTATAAGATGATTTGACTGCATTTATAAAAGAAAAAAGTTGTGATAAAGGATAATAAAATATTTCTTAATTTGTAGCATATATTCATTAACAAATCATACATTAAATTTATCAATAAATTATACATTAAATTTAATCATAAATTTATTAATAAATTATGCATTAAACTAAATCAATTAAATTTATTACTGTATTATTTTATTGTTATTCACTTAATACGTGATATAACTTATATTGATTATATGATATAATCAATATTGGTCACTTGATTTATTAAAATTTTTGAAATAGGACAAATCACGTGATTTCAGTTTTTAAGTGTCATGCACTATAGTAATAAATTAATTCAAATTTATGATTTATATTTTATTATAATAATCTGTTTTTTAATTCTTTTATATTTATTTAAAAATAAAATAGATCATAAAGATTATTTATTATATTTATTTTATTTATTATTAAAAATATTAAAGTAAAAAATATTATAAGTTTTCAAATTAATAAGATTTGTTTTATTCTAAAAAAATAAAAATAAAAAATTATAATTAAATAAATAAATAATAAAGATTAATTTATAATTAAATATTTAATTCAATAAATAATTTTAATATATTTACTAAATAATATTTCTTTACTTTTAGATTAGATTTAACATTGAACTTTTATTTTTACTTTTACTTTTTTTATCTTTATTTTCCTATACTATTATAATTTTTAAAATAAATTATTTAATAAAATGGACAATTATGTGATCAAAATTAAATAATTACATTTAAATAAGCAATTTTAAAAATTGTAAAATAGCATATATAAGGATAATTAAACAAATCTTAAAAATGAATTTTTTTTATAAACCAGTAAATCTTAAAATATTCATGTTACAATAGGTAAAAAAACACATAATAATATAATATATATTTCCACTCTGTACAATTGAAATTCCGACTTTAGTGATTGTCTTTTGTTAAATTTTTTATAATTTATTTCTTCGTTTTCTTTCGTTAAAAGGAATTTGGAACCCACTCAATAACGATCTTGCTTCATAATCAGTGTAAGCAGTAGTATTAAAAATAACATCAAACCCCGTCATCAAAGGAAAAGAATCGTAGTTTCCTTCAATATCTGGAAATAAAGATAATGCACTTGCAGGAAATCCCATAGCAATGTTTCCATCCCCATCACCAGAAGACATCGGCACACCATGCCATTCCTTCATACGTGGGAGAACAATCTCAACTAATTTGTCAATAAAGGTGTACATTGGAGGGCCCTTAATACATACTTTACATCCGATCGGCATCCCTAAAAAAAAGAAAAGGTAAAAAATTAAAATAAAATTTTGAAAAAAAAAAAAATTTTTTTACGCGTTTAATAACTTTTTTTTACCCGCTCTCAATTTCCAATTAGCAACACCGGTTTTAGAATATGTGACGGTAGGCCTTTCTGAAGTAATGCATTGTAAAGCCATGATACCACTTAATAAATGTTGTTTATTATGAATCGCTTGTTTAATCATACAATGAACATAAATTTCTTTTAAATAAGGAACTGATTCATGCGTTTGAGGCGGTGGTATGGGTTTGGATTTTTTATCACCCCTTGGTTTTAATGGTGGACGATTTTTCAAAAACGGATTATCAGTATCTCGTGTAACTTTTGTTAAAGGTAGGTATTTTTTAAGTCTTTTTTCAATAAATGTTTTCTCTGATTTTGGATCTTTATACGTGAGTATCATTAAATCATCATATAATATTGTGTTATAATATTCTTCCATTCTAATCATTGAACTTTTTCCTGGATAAAATTCCGAATCATCTGGCAGATTCGCTGATGGTTTGAATTTTCCAAACGTTTGAAGATATCTCGAAGTCAACACTCTAGTTGTATTGACGAGAGGTATTTTAAGTAAATCTATTTTCGTTGATAATAACATAAAAGAATAAGGTTATGGTACAGTCTTGAAAGGTAATTGAATTTGGCAAGGTTATAATATAAAGGTTACAGTATATGTAGAAATTTAAATTTGAAAAAAAAAAATGTGAAAAAAAGTTGAAAAAAAAATTTCACGCGGATGGTCACATGATATCGGTTACACAATGTTTATAAGGATAGGGTTCGCCGACGTGGATTTCGAACTTGTTGATTTACCTGAATAATGTCTTTGATTGATAAATAACCTAATCTTCTCTAACTCTAACACTATTCGATTTTTTTTCCGTTTTATTGTTTTTTTTGCGATTTTTTTTATATATAATCTTTTTTCTTTACGAAAAAAAATAATTCGAAATTTTCGAAGATGACACTTTTTTCAATCCACGTGATCATAGTAAAATATTGGTGAAATTCCATTCGTCACATAATTAATTATTCATCACATGGTTAATTTCTTAATTCCATAATGTCGGCCAAATGTCACGTGAAAGTGGTAAATCAGATCGATGCGTCACGTGGTCAATATATAACTTTTATATTTTATAGAGAAAGGTTTTGCTACAACAGAATTCATTGACAAGATTTTGTTATAAAGTATGTTTATTCTTTATTCTTTTATCAAATCCTCAAAAATCATGATTTGCAAAAAAAAAATCTATTATGTTATAAATGGGAAAACAAATGAAGTCCTTATTAGCAGTAAATTTTTCAATGATTGCCAGAATGTGATGATGATGACGGATAAAAATACAAATCATGCTTTTCTTTTACAAAGTATTGCACTCCACCATCAATACACGTTCTCTTTGAGGGCAATCGACATGATAAATGACGCGTTATGCATGTAATTCTTCTATCGATGTGCGAAAATTAGTTTCTATCGGAACACCTAAATTTCCTATATGTTTCCAAAAGAATATTTTCAAAAACCATTATAATTAAAGTTCTTTTACCATTCTTTACTGGATCAAAATAGAAATACAGCTATTCAATGGTTCGGTTGTGCGTGTTATCGTACTTTATTAAATTAAATAATAACAAGCTTCCATTGTTTCAAATCTAGAGTTCAAAACGATCCTAAGACCGGTTTCAAAGATCGGTCTAAAAATCGATCTATCGAGATCGGAATGGATCGGATCATTAACTACCCTAGTTACACGAAGGTTACATAAACTTTCCTTTTTTTTTTTTTTTAGAAAATCAAATCTTGCCTCTCTTTCTTGTCTACTTCTCTATTTTCTTAATCTTCAATAATGAAAGCATTATCCGCAGGTGCTGTGATATCTGCTGCTATGTTATATCGTTTTCAACATGATATTGAACAAAATACGAATCAAATTCGTGGAAAACTTCATAATACTCAAATTAAGCTCGACTCTTCTTTGCCTGGAAACTTGAGAGACCAGGTAAATTACATGAAATCATTGACTAAACTTCTTAACAATTACTTTATTTATTTATTTTATAATATTTTTTTTTTATTATATATATATATTTTTTTTTTAAAAAAAATCAAAAAGTTTTATCTGGTTTTAATCAATTTATCTTGTTTAATTTTTTTTTTTTTCTTTTAGACACTACCTGCATCAATTCCTTCGAAATCAACAAACACCAGACCACAATTGCCTTTACCATCAATTGCTCAAACCGAACATTATATTCACCAACGGTTCATTCCTACTTTCAAATCTACTTGGAATGAACATATTATAAGTATTGCTCAAAAATTAACTAATTTTGATTTCGATGGGGCTGTTAAATCTGGTTATGGAAATGCAAAATCTTTTGCTGAAGATAAATTAGTTAAAAAGAAATAACGGTAGGAAAGAAAAAAAAGAAAAAAAAAATTAGAGTATTTCAACGAAATCTCAAAAAAAAAAAAAAAAATCATTTTGGTTAATTAGCATATAAAGGAAAGGCATTGTATATTTTTTTTAAAAAAAAAAAAAAAAAACAAAACAAAACAAACCGTTTTTTAATTATACCTTTCTCCAAAAAAAAAACTAGCATCAAAATTTGATCATGATAGTTTTCATTGAATAAGCATGGAATCAACTTGACGAACGAATTAATTTAGATCTTTCTAAACATATCAAAGAGTTGTTCTACAAATGAATAACTACTAGTCTCGATTAAACAAAATTTTTTTTTATCATTAACAAACATAACGTGTACAAGACTCATCAGAGAAGAGAGAGATTGAGAAGTTGCAAACAGGTTTTTCAAATTATTTGTAACTGACAGATAAAAGATCAAAAAGATTAAATCACAAGATCGTCAAACTTGTTACGTCGGAAACCTTTGTTCGCGCACATGATTCCGAGATAAAGCCTTAGAAACCGTAGGCCTACATTATATTTGGGAAAGGGGTTAGATTCAAAAAGGAATTCTTATTAGCCTTTTCGCGGATTTCGGGTAACGGAAAAAAGTCGGATGATAGATGAAAGTACGAAACAAAATCTTAATTTCTTTTTTATCACAAATATTTGATGTTTATTTAACACATGAAGAAATGAAAGAAGACTTTGAAAACTTTCACGCTAAATACTTTCACAAACACAAACCCAAGGGAAACTTTCCCTTTTACAATTACTTGTTTTAAGAAAACATCATTCGATGACTAACATTATTTACATTCTATAATATTAAGAAATAAATAAATAAATAGTCTGACAAATTGTTTACGAATGAAAGATGCCTTCTTAGCGCCATGTTGCATGTTTGGTCCCTTTTTTCCCGTGCTAAAAAAAGATTAAATTTGTTTTTTTTACCAGGTTTTAACTGATTTTTCAGGATTATTCCACACTAAAAACCTTATTAATAATCGATTATATAATTAAAAACACAATCACAAACAAAAAAAAAAATTTGATTTAACCTACAAAAAACGCACAAACCCAAACACACAATCCGATTTGATTATTAATGTTATTTACATTTGGATTGGATTATTTAATATTGCTTGTATATCGATATGTAAGTAAAAAAATTGTCCGGAAGGACTTTTTCTATTCGAGAAAGGAATGATTGAAAAGGGTCTATTTAATATGTTGTTCGACTGCATAACATTAAAAAATTTGTGAGAGGATAATCCCTGCGATAATTTGTGATCAGATTTTTTGATTATGTAAAAGTAGATACAAATCGTGCGGAGGATTTACCATTACTAAAGATGACATCAAAAGGATTGATTAAATTACTTTCCATACAAAAAAATTGATGCATGAATTTTTAATTGATCTTTATTTTTAATACTTGTATATTAACGCAATCCTAAACTGACATATTTTGAGATTAAATTTTTTTAAGTTTAAACTTGTGAAAATCATAGGCCAACCAATGGTATATCAATTGACTAAAATAGAAATTGTATTCAACATATATCACCCCTTGTTCACTTTTTTTTTTTTTTTTTTTTTTTATATCCCCCCTTTTTTTAAAAAATTTTTGTAATAAATTACGCTATGGTAATTTTTATTTATTTATTTATTTTTTTGTGCAGATAAGATCATCTTTTACCATCTTTTATGAATCTCATTTAATTGGTAGTATCAAGGAACGCCAACGCAAAGCCAACCACCTACCAGAGAACCAAAGTTACCTCCAAAAGATGATTCTCAACCATGTCTCCGCGAAGCATGTCAAATTCAAACATGCTTGCAAGAGAATGATTTTCAAGAGGCACGTTGTCAAAACGCAATTGATAAATTACTTCAATGCTGTGAAAAGTTACTAAAGAGTGGGGGCAAATCACCAAGTTGTTCTAGTGTAAAGAATAAAAAATAAAGATAAAAAAGACAATGCAAAATTCTGCATTGTTCATGGGATGTATGTATCCTCCATTTACTGTTTCTTTTTTTTCCTTTTTTTTTGACGTGAGAAAAATCCAATACAAAAGTGGTTAAGAGTTTCATTTCTATTTTTTGTGTTAGGTAATTATTTATTTATTACACAGAATACTGTCCGCAGTGACCGAGTTTTTCAACCTTTTTTTTTAATGGGTTTTAATTATTTCTGTGAAATGAGATCTCATATGATTTTCAAAGAATACATTACAAAAAAAGAAAAAAACATTCTGGGGATCCATAATTTTCTTAGTGAAAAATATATATATTATTACCCGTTATGTTTAGTTTAAAAATATATTTTATAATAAACAAAAATGGGGATTGATTGTAAATTTCCGATCAATTAAGTTTCACTCCATCGTGACTTTCAATGCTTTAACACTTCTACTAACTTGAATTAGACGGTGTATGTTTACTTACAAGGGTCAGTATCTGTTATTTTCCATAGAAAGCTCCTTTGAAAACAAGGTGCACTTGCTGAGGGTAGGACAATTGTTTGGCGTGGGCATATTTAGGCTTATCCGCTTTCTTAAAATTTTTTTTCGCCCATTTTTCACAGATTGCATGCATACAAATTGTTACATGTATTATTCAAAAGACATGGTGCTTGATCATGGCGTGATGTATTGGGTTGTACCTGACCACTCGAGTATTCCCTTTTTGGCGAGAATCAAGACTCCACAATTTGTAAATTTTTTTCTTTTAATTTTTTTTTTAAAAAAAAGAATTTTCTTTTATCTCAACTAATGAGTCCTGAGCTTACGCATATTTTGATAAATTCCCACCTCTCCCAACAAAAGTTAAGGTTGAGCAAATTTTTTTTCATTGGCACAATTGTGATAATATCTCCGTAATTTTTTACTCTTTGTTTTAGAGTTCAAGTTAGAGTTCATTGAACAAATGCGAGCTCATGCAAAAATTATAATTGTAACTTGTTGTCATGATAAAAAAGAGGTTATAATAACAAATTATAAATCAATTAGAGTTTTGTCGTGAAATTTTTTTTTTTTTAAAAAAGAGTAAATTTAGTCTTCACCTGGATATAAATAAATATCGAATCCCTATTGTTTTATTATTTGTTTAGATTGAATATGATAAGGCAAACGCACTGTGTCACTTAATACATAACAATACAAATAGATCTGAATTCAAATAGATCTACAATCGCCACCACCTTTAATCATTTTTTTATGTGGGATGACTTCCACCGCATTTATTTGTTGTACTTTAAAAAAAAAATTTTATTTTCATTTTTTTTTATTTTTCATTTTCATTTTTTTTTTATTTATTTATTTGGGATTTTGATACTTTCGGATATTTTTAATCTCTTTTTTCCCAATTTTTCGCCTGATTACCTGAGAATTTTAAACAGAAACGTCAATACGAGATGATGAAACATCTGATTCTTTATATGGTGGTGAACAAGCGATATTAAATGTCTTTGTTCTCAGCGTTTTCCGTTTCTGATCAAAAGGAAATTAGAATTGAATGGTACATTTATAATCCTCCCTTGTCTTAAATGACAAACAATGGTTTTCATTGTCTTACTCAAAGAAAAATTTATATGATTCAATAGATCTAAATTTCTTTTTTTGATTCCTCAATACTCTGGTTGAAGGTTGATTATATGCCATTAATTTATCTAATGACATCATTTTTACGGGTCCCTTCAAAGGAAGTTCCTTTTTAACTAAACCCGACTCAAAAGGGTACGTGCGTATGAAATGCGTGTGTTAAAAAAATATTTTGAACGAAAAAAAAAAAAAAAATTTTTTTTTTTTTTTTGCATTATTATAAAACTTAATAATAAAGTGGTATAATGTAAAAAAAAACAAATATTATTATATAAAAAGTATTTATAATACAAGATTTGGTATCTGGTGTCACCAAACCTAATTATTTTATTGAATATATTGTAATAATTTATAATAGAATAAATTATAATTTTTATTTATATAAAAATACCCCAAAATAAAATTACTTTTTTGATTTCTAAAGTCAAAATTTTTTTTTTTTTTTTGAATTCAAATAACAAATATTCGTCCTAAAAAGGCGAAGTGGAACCTACGATTTCAAGAAAAAAAATAGAACGATTTGGGGTTTTTATGTCATCAAATTAGTACAAGATTTTTAACCGGTAATACCGTGGGTCTTTTAGTTCTTATTTATAAGCAGACTTTTTTTATGTAATACTACGAAAGACATCCAAAAAAAAAAAAATTTTATTTTCAAAAGTAAATATTCAAGTGTAAGTGCTTACCCATGCAGCACGAATTTTCGTGATTAAAAAAAAAATTTTTTAAAAAGGTATCTGAATCTAAAATGTTTTTTTTTTTCTTTTAACTCATTTATAAACCCACAATTTTTTATAACGAAAAAAAAAAAAAAAAACAATTAAGATTTTCTATTCCCCATCAAGTATCTTTAACTTTTTAAGTTAATATACCTTTACTCCTCACTCTTTCATCTACGATATCCATCTAAAAACTTTATCATACTTACGAAAAAAAAAAATTAAAATAAAAATAAAAAAAAAAACTCTCATCGGAAAACAACACATTCCAATACGTCGAATGTCTTCTGTAACAATGGCTTTTAATTCATTGTACACGCATACAAATTTGACTCCCCCTCTAGTTCCTCTTTCGACAACATCCATTTATAGCAGACCCACGACGGCATACGCTCCTTCTATCAACAACTCTAATTCCACGAGTCCTTATTATCACCAAATACAGCCCCCCAGTTCTTGACCCGCAATCGCAAACCATGGCCCAACCACCCATACAGAAAGGAAATATGTCCGCTCCTTGGTTCGGTCAAAATTCAATGCTGCCTTCCTCTTTTAGTCCATATCAACCTTCAAATGGTTCAAGTAAGTCTGAATGAATTTGCTCCTCTTTTTATCAATCATCATCATTCCCATTTTCTTTTCATTATTCTTTTTTTTACAACTCAAAACATTGTTTGTTATATTGTGCTTTGACCACCTATCTTTTTATCCATATTTTTCCGTTATCAATACAATAAAAAAAAATCATTTAATGTACATCCATGTATGCACTCGTCACTTTTAATGTTGGTTTCATTTTCATTTAATTGTTTTGTTGAAAGTTGTTTTTTTTTTATTTTTTTTTTATTAACATATATATATGTATATATATATATATATTTTTTTATTTATTTATTATTCTTTTTTATTTTTATTTTTTTTTTTCTTTATTATTTTTATTTTTTTTTTTTTTGATTTTCATCTTAACAAAGAAATTTGATTTTGGAAAAAAAAACCATGATCATTTGTGCCGTTTCTCCGCTGCTTCCGCATCGAGCATGTACATCTTGCCCTAAAAGTTGTCGTTACCCGAGACTACAGATTTTTATAATGATAATGTTATCTCACTTTAATTTCCGTACTCGAATCAAAATCATTTCAATTATTTATATATAAAATTCGTTTTTTTTTTTTGATCTCCCTTTTTTTTTCTTATATAATCAATTCGTTTACAATTTTTTTTTCCTCCAACGACCATCAAATATATATATTACATAAAAATATTTATATTTATATTTATATTTATTAAATTATTATTATTATTATTATTATTATCAACTCTTTTTTAAGAGGGGGGAAAAAAAGATAGTGAAAAATAATAATTAATAATAAATCCTTTCGTTTATTTTGGTTTCATTTTTATTTTTTTTTATCTCCTTTTCATTTCATTTTGTTTTTTTTTTATTATTATTTCTTTAGACTGTTTTATACTCATCTTTTACCTTCTTTTTTTTTATCTCTTATGTAAAATGGAATCAGTGCATAACAACATTGTTGGTCTTGAAGACAATAAACCAACACAGATCCAAAAGCAACCACTCTACTCTCAACATAACCTTTCCGGGCATCAAAGTCAGTCTTTAACAGGTGCTCCCACACTTCCACCGCCGCAGAATCAAGCGGTCTCAAATGTTCATGATATGTCGAATTCAGGGAGAGCAGCCACAAGGAGCTTGACCAATTCTAAACGTGCTGCACAAAATAGAGCCGCCCAACGCGCTTTTCGTCAACGTAAAGATAGATACATTAAAGATTTAGAAGCAAAAGCAAAAGAATTGGAAGCCACAAAGAAACAGGTGGAAACATTACAAAAAGAAAAGGCGGAAATGGCCGCGATCATCCGTACTTTGCGGAACGAGAATGCAAAGTTAAAGGGCGAGGAAGTCGTTGAAGATGATAATAGAAATAATGGAACAAATTCTGGTGCTAGCTCAAATTCTGGCTATCCTCATTATAATAATTCATCATCGCGAAACGATGATGATAATGCAGGTCTTGGTGATGAACCATGGCTTAGAAAGGATTCCGGTCGTAAAGAGGGTTTGTCATCGTCGTCCTTTTTCTTTTCCTCCTTTTTTTTTTAAAAAAAAAAAAAGAGGGGCCTGGACTTACCAAGTTTTCGTTTTTTTCGCATATACTTAGTCATGAATCGTCCTGGATCCAGTCTTACTGATAATTCACCCAGAGGATCCGGAATTGTCCTACCACCTGGTCCACACACAGATTCTACTGTTGAACCTTTTTTCAGACCTGATTATCGTCATCAAAATTCCAATAGTCCATCTCCACCATCATCAACTTCATCCGATCGTAACCGTGGTTCATATGGTGCTTCACAAAGCGCTAACGGAAGAGCTGGATACTCGAGCAATGACGAAGATACTGATCGAGTATACGACGACTTGTGTGAATTATTGAAAACGAGATCACGTCCGGCTTTACCGCAAAATATTGGTATGAATATTTGGCCACAACCATCACAGCAAATTAATCAAAATATTGTATCTACCGCTAATGGTAGTGGTACTGTTGTGGGGTGAATTTAAATTAGCGTATACGAACCAAAAAAAAAAAAAATTTTTTTTCATTGGAAAAAAATTGATTCATTTTTAAGTTCAAATTATATCTTTTCTTTTTTATTTTTGGTAGGTTTTTTTTCTTATTTTTTTTTTTTTTCCCCCTTTTTTTCTTTACGATTCATATCATAGGGAGGAGAGTAAGCTAATTGTTTTACGGATGCGACTTGGAAGAATTAATCAATCACGAACGAACCCAATATTTAATGAAAATCTTATCAATCAAAATTTTTTACTTCATTTTATTTTTCAATTCATTTTCTTTTTTCTTCCATCCTTTTTCGGTAAAATTTTGTTTTAATATCATTATTACCCCCACATATGATTCTCTTTTTTTTTTTTTACCGAAGATAATTTATAACATAACCAATTCTCCTCTCCCGCCTGTGTTGTGTTTATGCTCTCAAATTTTTTCTGTTTTTTTTTTTAAAAAAAATTACTTGCATTACGTCCTTACGATTTATACTTTAAGTAACCCAAAATATGTCCTTATTTAAGTTTATTTTTTTTTACTTCGTTAAGTTCTTTCTTACCGTGATTTGGTATAGAAAAATTAAGATATTTCATTTCTCTAATCGTATTGTATTGTTTATAACTCTCTGCGCGTGTTAATAGTTCCGAGTTCATTTTTTCACATTATATATATAATCATAGTTCATTACCATTCATTATTTCACCTGTTTCAAAAAAATTCAAGATTATTATTAAAAATTCAAAATTTCATGATAATACCCTCCCCTTCGTTTTTTTTTTTCTTCCTTTTTTTCCTTTGTAAAAATTGACAATTACTAAGCTTATTTTATTTTATTTTTTTTGAGTTTAATACAATATATATATTTTTTACGAATATATATGTGTAATGTAAAAAAAAAATTTCAAAAAAAGAACGGATTATATTAATATATATATATAAAAAAAAAAAAAAAAAAAATTCAAAGATAACCATTTACATTCTCAACCCTTTTATTCTTTTTTTTAAAAAAAAAATTTTTCCCCTTTCTATTTTTTTATCTTTTTTTTAAAAATTAAGAAAAGGGTGAGAATGTTTTCATTATCTATTCTTTTCCTTCTACTAATGTTCTCTCTTTTTTTTTTTTTTTTTATCAATCACTATTTTTATCTTATCAAATGTTCTTTTTTTTTTTTTGTAAATATATTTTTGTTTTTTTTTTCTTTTTTTTTTTTTAAAAAAAAAAAAGGGAATGAAAAAAGATATTCTTTTTAGATAGAAAATTTTCAGTGAAAAAAAAAATAAAAAGAAAAAATTTCGAAAAATCGAAAAAAGTTAAGAACAAGAATGAAAGTACTTGATTTTTCCCATGAAAAGAAAATATATAAAAAGATATATAGTTCTCAAGATGATGAAATAATTACCGGACTGTCCCAAAAAAAGACCTCACAAAAAATAAAAAAAAATGACGTTAAAAAAAGACTAAACTAAGCTTAGTAAATGAATATATAAAAAAAAAAGCCGGAAAAATAAAAGATTGGAAACCCAAGTTTTTCGAAAAAAAAAAAAAATTATATGTCATTGTTGTATATAACACAAAAAAAAGGGCCCACTAAAAAATTCGCGCGTTTTTTTCTTTTTGACCCTATGCAGAATAAAAAACCATTCATATTTGTAAATTTGTCTGTTCTTTACAATATGATCACATAAAAACCACGTAAATAAATTTCCTTACCTGTTCACAGTTAATGAATGTGTCATCAACCTGTCAAAAAAAAAAAAAAAAAAAGAATGCATAAACATGTTAATTAGAAAGAAATTACCTAATGACCTACATTTAAATAAAAGCAATCGCGCATGACATATTCATATTACCTAATGTCCTTTAACTATAAACAGAAAGATCTGTAATGTCAACAAGTTTTTTGATTTTTTTCCGCACTTTGTGGGGTTCAATAATAAAATATATTATGCAGTACACACATTCATTTTTTGTTAAAAAAATGAATTCAATTATGAATTGGCAATAAAGCTTTAAGAAAGAATAATTAAAGTGGTTGATAATCGCTAATAATCTTGATAAAGGTTGACAAATTCTATAGAAGTATGACGAAATATAAAATAAATAGAAAAAAAAAGTGTAGTAACAACATAGAGACGTAAATTTCCTAAATGGTTTAAATAATATCGATCGGAAGTTATAAGTAGTTGTATATATTTGTTTTTTTTTAAAAAAAAATTAATTGATTGATTGATTCATTAATTAAATAACAAACTTACTTCTAAATATCGAAATGAAAAAAAAAGGTAACGCACGAGTAATGATTAAAATAAGAAAGAACGATGATGAATAGATGAATGATAAATCGTAGTGTGTGTATCAAAGTGATAAATGTCGGATATCACGAAAAGAAAAAGATATAGTGGGGATGATTCGTTTTCAAGCTATGATTGACATAGAAAAGTCGTTGCCGAAGGCAAGGATCGAAATTGGAACCCGATGAAACACCGGCCAAAAAAGGGGGAACAATTTTGAAGTATTAATATGTTTAATTTGAAAATCATAAAGAAATAAAATAAAATAAAAGAAATGGAAAGGTAACAATAAAGAAAAATATAAATAGAATCATGACTAAGCAATTAAGCATTATCCGTAACTTCGAAAGAAATCTTTTTTTATTAAAAGAAAGCAAGGCAAACGAATGTAAAATTCTAAGAAAAAGATTATTATCTAAACAAACAAACCAAACAAATGATATTAGATCAACATTTATTAAGAAGATCGTATACCATATTAAATTATCAACATAAAAACAAATAAGGCTTAGAAGGTTTCTCTAATGCGCGAACGATAATTCTCCTCTTCTCTAATTTACGACAGTTATATTGCTTGCGAAAAAGAACGAAACCCCAATATTTTAGTGGTTAATGAGAGAATAAAATATGGTTTCGGTTAGAGAATTCTCTGGAGGTTTTTTTTTTTTAAAAAAAAAAAAAAAAAAAAAAATAGAAAAATGAAAAGTAAAAAAGGTACAAAAGCTAAATCTACACGAATAAATACCTTTGGAGAGGATGATAAATAATCTACAAAGAAAATTAACAATTTGGATGCATAAAATTATTTTTATTTTACCCGTACCAATTGTTCGTCATACATTGTGAAAAAAAAAAAAAAAATTTTTTTCAAACACGTTGATCTTGATTCTGACTCGTTAAACTTTTTTTAAATGATCAACCATATATTACAGGTGATATCATAACTTTCAAAAAAGACAACCCATTCATGCATCCAACAACCAGGCACGGAATGCTCGGAATTGTTAAACAACCTTTTTATGCTTTGCTATTTTTGATACTACTTTATTTTTATTGTTCTTATAAACGAAAAAAAAAAATTTACCTTTTTGATAAGATTAAAAAATTTGCCTTTTTTTATTTGGAGAATTTCAAAGTGGGAGACAACAGCATAATAAAGATAGAAGGCAATAGTATGCAAAGATTTAGACGCTTTCAACTCGATTCGGAAACTGGCCGTTTTTATGACAACAGAAAAAAAACTCTACTGTGCTAGGAGATTATTGAAATGCATTTTATTGCTTCCGCATACCTCAAAAGCTCTCTCCACTAAGCACAAAGTATCTTTTTTTTTTTTCCTTTTGGCTCAAATATATTATTAGTTCAACCAAAGAAATCCTTCAAGGTGAAAATGATCAAAAAGTATGTTTTTTTTTCATTTTTTTTCTTTTATAAATAACGAGAGAACCAAGGTCTCGTTTTTTTTTTTTTTTGACGCCTAATTTTTTTATTTTTAAAAAAATACCCTAATTTTATGTAGTTTGGTTATTCTGTTGAAATTAGCCAGTTTATATATAAATATAATATATTCGGAACCATGCGGATAACGCGAAAAATTTTCTTTATCGTTGGCTGAGCAACAAGCAAATAGAATCATAATGAAAAAAAAAAAAGCGATTAATTCATTTAACAAATTTATAACGATGTATAAGTTATGTCATTGCACATCGCACCCATAATCTTTCTAAATGTACTTCTATTTACTGATAAGAAACCCGATAGGTTAACAGCAAACATCCATTATGGCGTATTCTTTCCTTTTCGGATCATATAACAGGTAAAAATGCTGAAATTTGTAATCGACTTAACATTTTAAGTAGTTATTAACTTTTTTCCTTTATTTTAAAAAAAAACAAAAGATTCGGGGCTTTTCTGTTTTATGCGGATGATAAATAAAATTTCGTCATTGATTCCTTATGTGAATATTAAAATAACATCTAAAATCACGCGACCACGTGTCATATGTGGTGTATCCAACAATGTCATTGTTTGTATTACGTTATACTTCAAGCCCGTAAATTTCAAACCATACCAAGATACTGTGTATATATATCATTTTTAGAAATTTTAGATATCATTAAATTTTTTTTTGGAATGTTCTTAATATAATGGAACTTGAGATTTTCTTGTGTGATGTAAGTTAAATCCTTTATTGGTCTTTTTTTATTTATTTATTTAAAACAATAATAAAGATAATAAATAAATAAAATAATAATGATAACAATAATAATAATAACAATAATAAATAAAAGATAAGATCCTGTTATAATCCTGATAAGGAGATCTCAAACCCTTTTTTTTACATGAATACATACTTATTTACATTTTTATCATTGATATACAATCTGATAAACTCGTGTAAATACAAATTTGTTATACATTGCATCATTCTTAATTCGATTAAAAAAAATTATCACAGATTTAAATCGTAGAATAGATTGGTGAAACGGCAACAATAAGTGTTCGGTATCTATTGTAATTCTTACTTATCACATAAAAAAAATTTTATTTTAAATACATTCACGATAATAACTCGTTTTTTTTAAAAGTAAAAAATTTACGAATTTAGTACACATTTAAGATTTTATATGTCCGTGTAGATCTTGATTATATAAAATCGTCGATCTCTATGTCATTACTTATTTAGTTAAGATATCCAATCAACTGGGTAATAAATGATGTGACCAAAAATCAAAAGGAATTGCCGGGAAATATATTTGTTTCAGGCTAAATCTGAACATTTATCGGGCTGAAAAAACCATTTTGGCGTAAAATTGGTTGACTCTGTGTAATCTGTCAAATTTCTTCTTGCATTTGAACCAACCTCATTTGTTTCTCTCAAAGTAGAAAAGAATACAAATTTACATTGGCTAATATTTTTCAGCAAATCCAAATGGAGTCCAATCTAAATCATTTTAAAATAGATAATGTTCCAAATAGTGCCTTTTATATTAGAGATTTCATATCAAAGGAAGAAGAACGAGAACTTTTAGATAAGGTTTCTTAAAGTTAATTTGATTAGTTAATATATTATTATATTGAATATTTATGTTGTTTTTAGGTATATTCAGCCCCTAAACCAAGATGGGTTACTTTAAAAAATCGAAGGTTTTTGTCTTTTTTTTTTATTATTTTTATTTTTTGTATCTTTTCTTAGGATGGTTTCTAATTTAATTTGATGTTAACGATATAGACTTCAAAATTGGGGTAAATCTCTTATGTAACGTTCCTTTATTAATAGATGTATTTTTAATCTCTCATGCTTGCGTATCGCATAGGTGGTAAACCAACGGAACGTGGTATGCTTTCTGAACCGCTTCCATCGTGGCTAACTTCCCCTTTTAGCAAATTCTCTCAACTTGGAATTTTCGAGGCTTGTTCAAAATTTAAATTACCAAATCATTGTTTAATTAATGAGTACGAATCTGGTCAAGGGATAATGGTGAGCGAAGTGTGGTTTCATGATAATGATCGTGCCGAAACACGAATTGTAATTTGTATATCTTAAAATTTGAAGCCACATGAGGACGGTCCATTTTACTATCCTACAGTGGCAACGATCTCAATGAAATCACATACTATTCTTAATTTCTATAAGCACCGCGTCATCGAAGATTCTGACGTGGAACAGAATGAGCCCAACACCATGCCAAACTTTTCATTACTTATTGAACCGCGAAGGTACGTTACAACCATTTTGCAAAAGATTTCAATTTAATTATGTATATCGTTTTAAAATCAACATTATATATTAGTCTATTGGTGCTTCAAGATGCTTTATACACAACTTACCTACACGGAATCGAAAAAAGAAACTCTGATAACTTACACGAGAAAAATCTAATGAATTTGTCGAATGATATTGATAAAGATGTAATTTTGGAAAGGGACACAAGAGTTAGTTTGACTTACCGTGTGGTAGAAAAAGTTGCAAAAGCAAAATTATTTAATATTAAATAATATACTGTATATATTTATATATGTCTAAATTTTATTCAGAAAAAATTATTATTAAGATTAAAGTAATAACGGTATCAACTGATTAATTTGCACCCTTCATTTAATAAACATTTGCTACACCCCACATTACACTAAACTTCAACCTTGAATTCATCATTTCTGGTCATCATAAAGTCCTAATCGATACGAAACGATGGCGTCAACCTTGTGATTGTTGGTTGAAAAAGATCTCAACCTAACGTATTCAGGATTTTGAATAATAAGTGGATCCGAATCATCCCATTCAGCTGGCACTTCCGCGTTTTTGTCAGTGAAAGCAAGAACGTTGAAGCTGCCTATATATAGAATAGATTTAACCCAAATTTAAATTTCGACCATTATCATCTAATAAGAAATTTGACATACATTCATCATCTAATACAGGTAAAAATGTAACACTGGCTGTAATTTGGCGAATGATTGCTTGAATTTCATTTTTAACCTCCGATTCGGTCTTCTGTTTCGTTTCTTTACCACTAAAATATTCATCAGTATAGATTTGATCTTTCTTATAAATTGGAGAAAACAAAAAAAATAAAAAAAATAAACAAAAATTGATGACATACAGTCCTTTATTATTCTCATCAATAATTTGTATATCAAATTGCCATCGTTCAAGTATTTCGCGAGTTTCAACATTCATGATGGCTAATACAAGTTTGCTGATTTGTCCGGCATTTAACCAAGCTATCCAAAGAAAAAAGAACACGATACGTTTCAGATAACCGGAGATGCATGATAAATAATAAAAATTACCTTCAACTTGAGTCAAAAGTTTCTTCAAATAAGACTTTAAAGAATCATCAATTGTCATTAGAATATTGAGCCCGTATTTCTTTACCATTTTAAAATCCTCTGGAGGATAAACTGCACGTTGAAATAGGATACTTTATTAAAGTAATTCATTAACATACATTAGGAGATGGAGTCATTAAATAAGTCAGAAAGAGTAATTAAGATAAACATTTAATACCTGTTCAACGCGAATTCTTTATACATTTTGATGAAAAAATTATAATGATTAAATAACGCTTAAAATAATTTACTAAAGATTCGCACCTTACCAAAGAATTCTACGACTATTTTGGTGGAACCTTTCAATGAAATGGTATTTTTCGTTCCAACGCGCATGTCAAACTAAAAATAAAGTAAAAGATTAGTTTGAGATATTTGGGAAAGTAAGAATTCCTAACTTTAAATAATAATAATAATAATTTTATCTTCTCAAGAGTATGTTTACATTTTCGACGTGTTATATACGCGATATGATGCAATCACATGATAGATCATCTGTGTAACATCTATTTTAAAGATTTGGATATTCGGATATTCATAATCTCGATGATCGATGACGGAATCTATCAATTAAAAAAAAAAATGCACAATCGTTCTTTATCACGCTAACTTTCTTTAGTAACAGTTAAGAAACGATCGTCAATTGTTTTAAAATTATACTATATTCACGTAAAAAATACAAATCATAGTAAAATTTAATAAATAAAAAAATAAAATTAAGCACGCGAAGACATTAAGCATCATAGGTTACTTCGAATTTTTTATTTTATTCCGTTAATTAATTTTACAAATCTTTTTTTTTGCGATAAATCCTAGAAGAATATCCAAGGGTTGAGAAAATGTTTAATTATTTCTGGGAGGGGAAAACGAATGATGAAGTTTATTCGGTTTGAGTAATAAATATCAAATAAAGTACATCAGTTTACTTGAAATATAATTAGTTTTAATTGGTGTTGAACTTGAACTAATATTTAAACACTAGCGATTATGTGAAACATGACAAATTGAATTAGCGAAAATTTCATGTATAATTGAAATTTTGAAAAAAAATTGTATGTATAATGTTCGATATAATAGTTGATTCCTATATTTCAAATTTGAAATTGAGAAAGCTGAATGGATATTATAAATTAAATTAGCGTAATGAAAGTTTTTAAAATGTACTTATTATTTAACAATTTTTAAAATTCCAAATACAATTGAATGATATGACAAAGAAATTAATTGATTTTTTAAAAAAATGAAGATTATTGAAGAAGGTTGGATAGGTCCATGTTACCTTTTTGGAAAAATCATATGTATATTTAAGAGAAGTTTAAGAGTTTGGTTAAATAAGTAAATATAAAAGAAAAAAAATAATGTGATTGTATTTACAAATAAATATTATGTATAATTTTAATTATTCAAAAAATAAACATATATTGGTAAAGTTTTTGAAAGCAACTTTTTAAAAAAAAAAACCTGTTAAGTTTTTTTCAATTGATATCAATCAAAAATTTTTAATAATTAAAATTTAATATATTTATATTTTTTAGTTTATAAATAGCAGAGAATAAAAAATTAAAATAGCTATTAAAAATAAATTTACATAAAAAATTTAATATTTAAAATATATAAATTCTATTTTTTAATTATATTTTATATTATTTATAATTTGCTAAATAATATTATTTTTTTTTTTATTTCTAAATCTTAATCATCATATTTAAATAGTAATTAATATAATTATATATAAAACAGAAATAGAATTCAAAAAAATCAGATTAAAATAGTCAAAATAATTAAAATTATATAATATAACCATTTAAATTATAATGTAACTAATTAGATTGTAACATATTCAATAGATTATCCCTTAAACTGTAGAGTAGACAAATTTGCCTATAAACATAAAAAAAAGTACTAATTTTACTAATTTTTTAATAAATATAAAATATTAACGTTAATGTTAATAATATAATTATTATATAAAAATATAGTTTAGTATATATTTTATCAACTTTATTAGAAGAAATTTTAAGTTTATTAAAAAGTTTTTTAAGTTTTAAAAAATTTATTATAATAATTTTTTAACATTTTTCTTAAAATTCATATGTTTACAAATTAATTAAATTACTTTATTATTAATAATAATCATAAAATTTCTTAGTAAATTATAAAAATTATAATAATTAAAATTATTCTTCATGATAAATTTTATAATATTTTATTATAATTAATATTACTAAAAGTAAATATTAATAAGATTACTAAAAATTAATAATAAAATTTTTTATTTTAAAATTACAAATTTATAAGTAAACTAGAAGAAAATTTATAGTAAATAAGTAGACAAATTTGCCTACAAAATCCTACAGTTTAAGAAATAATGTAATTAAATAATTTAAAATATGTTTATTTTCAAATTAATTTTATATATATATTTAATTTATTTATGCTATAATTAATTAGATTATAATATGATTATATTATAATTATTTATATTATAATATATCTAATTAGATTATAATATAGCTAATTAAATTTGTATTATACTAAGTTAATATTAAGAAATATGATAAATCTATAATGTAATTTTAGTTAATATTAGTTAATATTAATCTAATATTATGAATATGATATCTAAATATTGAGATATTATGTTTTAAAACTTATATATATATATATATTACAATTGTAATTACTTATTCATAGCTTACATAAAACTTCTTTATAATTTTATTATAATTTTATTATTACTTCTTTATAACTTCTCTTATTTTTTATATTATTATTATATTATTTTATATTACAATTGTATTTTATCTTTTCAATATTGTAAACGGATCTACAAAGAGATCTGCAAAACTGATTTACAAAAGGATTTGCAGAATGGATCAACCAAATGATT